TGAACCAGCTACTGTTACAAATAAAAAAAAATAAAATTGTAACTTATTCTGGACTTGGAGCCAGTCTGTTCCCTGTTTCCACTACCTCACGATCCATGGTACTTCCTTTATAATTTGGGGGTTCTTGCACCTTTTTAAGTTGTATTGTAAATTTGTAAGGAAGGACTAGTGAAGGTCTGTCTTGAGTGTGAAGGTCAGCAGGAGGGTTGAGATTAGTATCTTCAATGCATCCCATAACTGTTCTACTCCAGATTCTGTGGAAAATTTTATATAAAGAGAAATTCAAGACTCTGTATATTGCTTTTATCAAATACACTGATATCTGCATGTATATTCTTGATAATTAAAGATGCTTTCTATTTAGAACTAAAAATTTTACCTACCTGTCAGTGTTTGCATGTTAGTATGTTAGAAGATTAATAATTTAAAAACTGAGATACTTCGGTGGATTAAACGGGATGCTGATGAAATAGAAGTTCAAAAGGATTCTTTGAGTGGGGATCTCTTAAACTGACTTTTAGCGTAATTTGATTGCTTGTTGAAATGCTTGCAAATATGTAACCAACAGTCTTTGTTTAATACTTAATTGAAAATTTTTTTTAGCACATTAGGTAGAATCATCAAAGTGACTCAAGAAGTGATTGACTACAGGGCCTGGATTAAAAAGAAGTGGGGGAGCAAAATTAATTTATCACCTGAACTTGGTAGGTATAGCAGGACTCTTTAATACAAGCTTTTTTTTTCTTGAATGTGATGTAATTCAAAATGGTCATGCCTTGAAATTAATCACTTTCAGATACATAGGAAAAAATAAAAGGATTTTACAGCTTTTTAACCCAATATGAGTTTTCTGAGTCTATTTTTCAGTTAGCTTTTTAAACTGCAAGTCTTCATAGGCTTCAAGGCCCGTGTATTTGTGTTCTGTGCTGTTAAATGATGTTTGTTTTCTGTTAACAGATAATAGGTTGAAAATGAGAGACCCGATAGTTCCATGCAATGGGGAACAGCAACAGAACAGAGACTCTGAACCACCTTACAATCAACGCTTGACTTTGTCATTGACTAGTACACAACAGTTATCCTCTGGCTCATCTGCCTCTTCTGTATCATCACTCTCCAGCAGTGACATTGTAAGCTTTTTCTTTTAATGGGTTCAACTAATAAGATGCAGAGTTTATCATACTCCTTTAAGTCTCAGCTGATACAACAGAAATCTGATATTATCCGTAAACAGCTACAGCAAATTAATGGCTTCCCTTGCTCAGAAAAGTTACTGAAATAAAATATTTTTCCATTAACTTAAATAGGTCTTAATTCCATCTTAAATTTTTTGGTACTCTTTGTGGTAGTAGTTAGGTGTAATAAAATATAAAAACCCAAGTTAACAATTGCTAACTGGAAGAGTAGAAAGCTGAAATCATACGTTGTCAAATTCTGGTCCTTTTTTCCCACACCCCAAATTGGATGGGAACATCATATCGTTCTTTGAAGGTGAATAATATAAGAATAATATAATGGGGCCCTCATGTGTCAAGTCTTGCTGTCAGCTTCCTTGTTTGAAAGTGCCATTTTGAAAGTAATTGCTGGGCTCTTTTAACTTCCTGGGGGAGATGACTGTAGCTTCTTTAGGTATTTTCCCAGACTTGTAGGAGTCTATAAGGTGGGTTTTTTGGGCATGGAGTTAACACAGAATTGGCCAGTGCAGATTATAAAGCACAAAATCACATTGCATGGCATGAGGTGCTCGTTATAAATCTACTGAAGCCTTCTGAGCTAGGTAGTGGATTGACTGGAACAAGATGTAATAACCAGTTCACTATGATAGTGAATGACTGGATGATGCCAAGAGAGGTTCAAGTACCTGTTTCTTGACTGCTTTCAAAAACTAGTCAGATATGGAATTAAAAGTTGGGAATTGCATTCAATAAGAATTTGATAACTTTTGAAGGGCAAATACATTTTTATGTGTTCTGGTTACTTGCTGTAATTCCTTTCCACTTAAGAATTTTCTGTGTTGAATTGTCTTTTCACTCCACCTCCAGTAAATATGGTAAATGCTTCAGTTGTACCATCTGGCTTATGGAAAAAAGAACAGCATGATGCTTTCCAGTGGTACTATGAGCCATGCTCCTAGTTTGAGTGTGTTGGTGAGAAAGATATTGCTGTAATAAGTTTTATGAGAAAATGCAAGTGTTTAAGTAATATTGTGCATTCCCAACATAATTAGTGGTGAGTGGTTGTGACCTCCCCTTAGTCCCTTTTTTTCCTGACCTTGAAGATAAAACTTCATTGTCTGATGCCAGAGAAATTAATGAAAAGTGAAAAGGAAGCTCTCAACAAGAAAGACCTGCAAGCTGTTTGGGCATCCACAAAGCGAATGGAAATGCTACCCATTTTAGCAGACTAAGAGGCCTTATGCCTATGTGCTTGTGACAGACCCTATTTTAAGCCCTGGTCATTGTTTGGTATTATGTTCTTAGTAGACTGCCAGCATGGTATTTTAATTTGGAATGGCTTCTGACAAATAACTGAATTCCATCCTCCTGACGCTTGGATATGTGAGGATGAACCGGTTCTGGTGGAGAACTGCACCTGATTCAGGAAGAGAAGTCTGTTCTTCTGGAGTCAAAGAGGCTATTTGTGTTGTACATAGCTTCCAACAAATTAACATCTAGCATGTTTGACAACTGGTATTTGTGCCAAAACTTCTAGTGATCAGCAAATGGGTTCAGTGAACTTTGGTAGCAGCTTCAGAAAAAGGGATATGAATATGATGCATCTCATCACTGTAGAGTTATATGGAGTATTAGCTCTAATCCTGTGGAAGGATTGTTCTATAAGGAATGATTCTGTATTCATTTGAAGTCAAATCTTCTGAACTTCCCTGATACTGAAGACTGAACAAGTTACAGATTATAAAGGAAATGCAGGAGAGAGGGAGATTCCAGAATGATAGTTTGCTGATCTCTTAGCAATAATCAATGTTTCATTTTAATAGTAAAATATTCCTCCCTACTATGGCACTGTTAATCTTGAGTGCAACGTCTGCATCTCTTTCTGGAGATGTATTCTGCATGACCGCAGAATATCTTTTGCTATGTATCAGCTACAAGATACTAACTGTCAAATTATAGAGACTTGATAGTGTATTTGCTTTTCAATGTACTGCTAAAATTTCAGTGGTAATAGTGATCAGCTGCACCTTGACCTTTCTCTGATTTGACTACTAATATAATAGAGGTCAACCTACATATGTTGAGGAAGAAGAAACAGGCTTGGCAACTTGTGACTTTACTTGGTCATATTTCCCCTCTCTGAACTTCATAGAAGCATTTTGATTGGAAAAGACCTTAAAAATTATCAAGTCCAACCTTTAACTCAGCACTGCCGGGTCCACCACTAAACCATGTTGCTAAGCACCACATCTGTATGTTTATTGAGGGTCAAATATTGCATCCAGGCAGTCTAGCACAGAGGTAGCTGTGTTCTGAAGTTATCACATCGCTGTACTCCAGCCATAAGTCTGGAGGCCTTGCAATTTGCCAATATGTCCTGGCAGCAATATTGGCAATATAAGTTAAATATTCAAGCATTATCAAAGCAGTGCAGCATTAATCATTTGCATTCTGGAATTTTCATTAAACACTATAGTTTAACAGTTGGCTGTAGCAGTAGTTAGTTGAATTGGTTGTAACACAGCATGCTGTACTGTTTTTAAGGATTTGCTTCATTGAAGTTCTGGCAGCATTACAGGTTTTGCCTCATTCTGTAAATATGGATCAGCAGCTGAATAGACAAGGCTCCCAGTGTCTTGGACTTACAGGCACTTCAGTTAGTAATGGTTATAGATTTGTTCCAGCAGCAAGAGAACAAGTGTTGGAATAGAACAATTAAAAAGAGTAAGTTGTCTTAGAGACTGGATTGTCATAAACAAGAGCTAACATTTAGAAGTCAGCATCTCAGCATTTGTACATATTTAGAATAATGGAAGTGTAGGGATATAAGAGCTAATATATAATAGATGTAATACTACCCTGACTTCTTTCCATTCCCATTATTGCTTTCCTTTCTTTGGGGACCAAGCTGGTTGTAATCTTGAGAACTTGTGTACCACTGAGGAACAAGAGAACTGCCTTCTTCCAGGACAGCCTTCTTTTTACCCATATGTTTTAGATGTATGTGCTTTTCCTCAGTACATGTCCCCAAATTCAGGAGCAAATTCATCTCTGTAGGTCCAGAACTAGCTTGCAGGAGAGCACACTTCTGTGCCACTGTCTACACAGTCCAGAAGCCAAGAACTGGATTTAATGAGACCATATCTTGTACAAAAGTATCCTTTTATGGATTTTCCAAGGCAGTAAAGCTATTTACAGAATGCCTTATGCTTAGCACTGTCTGGCTGATGAAATTCTAGTTTTGCTGTCTTTTTAACAAGTGTCCTAGGAAGTTGCAAAATCTTAGTCCCAAAAGAAAACTTTTATAAAGATGAGCAGATTCCTGATCAGAGACTGCAGAGAAGAGAAATCTGCCTTTTGGTATTACTATTGGTGAGATAGCTGTATAGTTGTTGGGTTTGTCTTACTGTACATGTCAGTACAGAGCTCTGACTCTCTCACTGCCACTTCTAATGAAGTTCTTTGCAAAATACTGAGTACTTGGTTACCTGCTTCTGTGAAAAATATAAATATTAGTGATCAGGAGCAAACTAAGGAACACATGGAAATAAACTTGTGGATACAAGGAATCTGGTCATCTGACCGTTTTCCACTGCACATACATTTTTCTGGATTCTGTTAATTATCAAACTGATCTGTGTAGTAAGTCTTTTCTCAATGAAGTATTATTCTATTCAGGTGTTTACAATATCATTTGCTGCCCTAACGAAGAGGCAGTATGTTTCACTTATTTATGTTAACAGGTAAGTTGTAAAATATTGTGCATTCCCACATGATCCAACAAATGTTGAACTGAATAATGGAAAATGCTTTATAAATATCTTTGCCATCAAGGACAGTGAAAAGTGTATGGTTTTTTTACTCTATGGGAGCAAAATTCAAACTGTTCCAAAATAGAAAATAAACTTTGGCATTAGGAAATCTCACTTTAACCTTCATACTGAGTTAAGTGTTTGTTACGAGACCAGATGGAATGAGCTGTATTCACTCCCAGCTCTCTGCTTGTTCTGGGTGGTTGCAGATATCAGTCTGAGAATCTAAGCAGTAACCAACTTCCTCTTGAAAATACCTTTTTTCCTGGGTGCTTTGTTATTCTGGACCTGTACTCTGTAAATTATGATCTAGTTTTCTTGTTGCTAAAGTGTTGTGGAAAACTCCTTTTTATTAGCTCAGGAAGTCCTAGAGTATTGCTTGGAGAGTATGTGCTGCCTAATCAACAGTCTCTGCCAAGTAAAAAAAATAATCCTAGATGTTTTTGCAATCTCATTTTAGTCTGGTATAATTCCTGGTGCTAAGTATGCTCTGCAGTTTTGATGCTGTTATGCTAAATAAAGCATAGCATTTTATGTGACAGTGATAATTGCATACCGGTAACAGATATAATGGCTCTAGGGAAAGTTTTAAAACTCTTTCCTGTTACCTAATGATGTATAATTTTGTATCCAGTCCAGTACAGGATCTCAAAGTTGTCTGTTAGCAGTTTTAATCTAAGAACTTCCATGTGCCTTATCTCAGCATTTCTGGTGATAATGTTCTTTGGGCTTCTATGTCAAAATTATTTTCTGATGTCTCAAGACCATGCAGTTCTGTCAAGGTGGTTGAAATTTCAGTGAATGAAGTACTTGTGTAGTCTAGTTTGGGGGAGAACAGAATCTTTGCTTCTATTTAAGTTTTTTGCATTTGCAAGATGTTCTTTCAGGCTGTTCTTGCAATCTTAGCTGTAGCCATTGCTGTGCAGGCTTTTGTAACAACTTCTCATGACATGTCAGTGCTTGATCTACCTGCCCTTCTGCCATCATCAGATAGGGGATATGCTGAGCAGTATCTTAAGTGTTTCATGAAACATGTCTTTTAACTATCTTCAGGTATTACATGTTCTCAGTTCTTTGAACAGATGCTTTCATTTTGGGAGTAGGATATAACTATAACTAATACTCATTATTCCTGTCATTTCT